AATCTGTAGACTAAAGGTCATGTTCCATTAGAATTTTCTATTAAGTCACGTTGATCTGTGTGACACCTAGATGCTATATGTAAATAGTTATTCAGTATAAATCAGAGAATATGTGTTAAAGAAGTTATTTTTTTGGGGGGTGGGGAGTGTACCCTACAGGTTCAGATATTAAAATACTTCATATGTGATAATCATCCTCTTAGGAAGATTGAAAAAAAGATACTGTATAAAAAAGTGTGACAACTAAAACTAAGAAGTTAATATTAGTAATAAAGTTGACAGGTTCAGGTATTATCTAAATTTAACTCCAATGTTTTTCTAATTTATCTTTATGGTCTCTTTTGGGGAGAGAACAACAACTGGATTCTTGTGGTAGAGTTTTTATGATTCCGGGAAGCAAAATGACTTTATGTTCCTCCCCCATGCTATTGTTGTGTTTTAACACAACATTTCTAAGAAGTGCTTTATTAATAATTAGAGAACAACAGATTAACAATTCTAAAGGCTTTTATTTCTGTCGATTTCATTATTAACCTGAAGGAAGTTGTTAAATTCTTTGCTTTGAGAAATAATAAATATTCATCATATTTGGAAAGTTTTGTGCCCCATAAAAAATGATTTTTGAATATTAGATTTTTTTTCTGTGTTGTGGGATACTAGTAGAAGTGTAGAATTGAGGTTCAATTTATTTGAACCCTGCTTCTCTAGCTACATTCTTTCCCATTTGGGGTTTCCACCTTCATGGCACAAGTATAGGCATTTCTGTTGTCTTCTGTTGGTGAAGGTCTTAAGTACATTAACATTCCCGGTTACGGATGTCACTGTATATTTGGGGATTGCTAGTAGAAATCACATGAGATGCTTCAACCCAGATGTAATGGATAAACTAATATATGAACAATCAGAAGGTATCCATTTTAGTTTCAAAGAAATTCAGGGAAGAAAACAGGACTGTTCCTCAAGATGTGTACTTCACTCTTTTGTGTAATTACTGCATTTTGTGTGAAACTTTGAAATTTGAAAAGGATTAGTGGGACAAATTGAGATTTTTTTTTAAAAGATTTTATTTATTTGAGAATGAGAGCATGAACAATGGTGGGTGGGGTAGAGGGAGAAGGAGAAGCAGATTCCCTACTGAGAGCAGGGGGCCCGCAGACTTAGGGCTTGATTCCAGGACTCTCAGATTATGACCTGAGCCAAAACCAAGAATCTGATGCTTAACTCTTGAGCCACCCAGGTGCTGCCCCTCCCCTGGCCCTTTTTAACAAATTCTGAAATAATTAAGACCACAGGGAGTATTTTAAGTTAGAGATGGGTCATATTTTGAGTAGATAAAAAGAATTTTAATTTGTATTCTTGTTGAATCATGTAATCATAGCAACAATTATTATGTGAACACTTGGGATTTACTTGTAGCAGGCACTATATGTAACTTCAGGTATATTGATTATTTAACCCTCATCACAATCTCAATGTTGGCTCTTTTATTCCATGTTTCCTTCATTTCTTTTATATTTATAAATTTGGTGTAGAAAGTTTGGCTCTACATAAATTGATTTTCAGGGGATCCCTGTGTGGCTCAGTGGTTTGGTGCCTGCCTTTGGCCCAGGGCTTGATCCTGGAGTCCCAGGATTGAGACCCACATCGGGCTCCTTGCATGGAGCCTGCTTCTTCTTCTGTCTGTGTCTCTGCCTCTCTCTTTCTGTGTCTCTCATGAATAAATGAATAAAATCTTTTAAAAAATTGATTTTTAGTCTCTGTATGGTTCACACATGTAAAATATTGTTAAAGTATGAATATACTACTTATGGAAGTTTTTGGATATTGAATTGTATTCCTGTAACATTAAAAAAAATTGCATGGGGCTCAGTAAGTTTTTATTAATATTTTATTTACTCATGAGAGACACAAAGACATAGAGGGAGAAGCAGGCTCTCTGTGGAACTCGATCCCAGGACCCTGGGATCATGCCCCGAGCCAAAGACACTTGTTCAACCCATAAGCCACCCAGGGGCAGCCCCAGTGGCTCAGCAGTTTAGCGCCACCTTCAGTCCAGGGCGTGATCCTGGAGACCCTGGATGGAGTCCCACATCTGGCTCCCTGCATGGAGCCTGCTTCTCCCTCTGCCTGTGTCTCTGCCTTTCTCTCTCTCTGTGTCTCTCATGAATACATAAATAAAATCTTAAAAAAAAAATAAGCCACCCAGGCATCCTGGGGCTCAGTAATTTAATAAACATCATTAAATGTCCAGGACTTGCCTTTTTCTGTAATTGATGAACATTGCATATCTTTTCTTATATTGCCTTTGTAAAATTGGGCAAGAAATGGTTAAACTGTGAACTCCAGTGAGCCATGCAGAACAGAGTAAGAACTGAGTGAATTTGGGTTTTTTAAAATAGTTGGACATTAGAAATCTTAAAGGCAATTGACTAACAATGCTTTTTTCTCAGCACCCTCCAATTGCTATAGTATGGAGAAGATTAAATTGCAGAATTACTCCAAAAAAATGATATTCGAAAAGAGTCATACCATTTTGGGGGGATTAATCAGCTATAGTAGGCAATCAACATGTTTCTTTTTAAAGAGAAGACTTTTATAAGCCTCGCATTGCAGAAAATCAATGCAATGAATAAACAAAGGTTTTCAGTGTGACTGAACATCTCAATCACCTTTGGAGCTTCAAAAAAGGGCAAGAATCTTGATGGGTGGGTTTCAAGAGTATATATTGGAAACCTATAAAAGCAAAACAAAACCTCAGTTGACTTTGTGCAACTGGCGTTGAGAACCATTGAATTGGGGAACTGATGAAGATTCAACCTGGTGTAGACTGTGAATGACACTGGACAGGTGGGGGATTTTATATTATTAGGGTAAAGGACATAGTGGCATGGACATTGGACCATTGTGGAGTATAAATAACTGGGTATTAAAGACATTGGCAGACAGAATAGAAATCACCATGATAAAAGATTGACCTTCTTTATTGTTAAATTGCCTTCAATATAGACTTTTATGTTTTTTCAGTTGATCGTCACTGAATAGAGAGGTGAATTTATTTTTTATCCAGCTTCATTAAGGTATAGTTTACATATAACATGCAGGTTTAGGGTATGAACTGTAATGATTTGATATATGTATATATTGTAAAGTGATTACCACAGTAAGATTAACACATCCACCACCTCCAATATTTAAAATATTGTTTAAAAAATAACTTGGAAGACCTCCTACTCTATGCTATATAAACTATATATATGTTTATACACACGCACACACACACATTCATGTTTTTTTAATTGTACCATATTTGTGTTAGGGAGTAGAATATTTATTTTAGTGTACTAAATGTTTAGTGTACTTTGAAACAAAAGATGAAAGAATAGTACACTTAACTTCCATCTGTCTTAAACCTAGATACATTAGTTCACCCATTGTTTACATATTGTTTCCTTTGCTTTATCATGTCCATACATGTTTTTCTTGCTGACATACAGAGTTTGGAACTAGTTAGTAGGTGTTTGCTAAATTTATGGTAATTTATTGTACAGCAAGCAAAAAAAATGCTTATGTAAACCATAAGAATTTCATGAGAAATAACTGAGAAATTATAGTAGAAATTACAAAATGTTTACAATGAAAGTGAATGAAGTCCCCTAAACTGAAAATAATTTAAACTAATGAAAAAATCACAATGTTTGAAATAAAGCTAAGGTGAATTAAAGGAAAATTTAAATATAAGAATAAAGGAAAAACTGGAACTAAACAATATGAGCATCTTTTTCAAGAAAATAGCAAACTAAATCCAAAGATAGTAGAAGGAAGAAAATATTGGGTAGTAGAAATCCAAGAACTAGAAAATAAACATACAAGAAAATCAAAGGTTTTCTTTGACAATGTTAATAAAATTGATGAATCCTCAGCAAGAGTAATCATGAAAAGAATTCCTTTCTGTGAACTCACATTTCTGGAATCTATTATATGGGTTCAGAAAATTATGAAGGGTCATAGTGAAGATTGGTACTAATAGAACATACAGCTCCAGCACCGTATAATATTCTTGATAAGAGGGAAGGAGGTAGTACTAAGAGTTGGTGATATTGTTAATTGGTGATATTGTTAATGTTTTAATGGCTCTATTGTCCCCAGATTGGCTTAGAAAAATGATAAACTATCACTATATCAATGTTTATGTACACCAAATAATATAGATCTGTCCATGTAAGAAGCTCCTGGGTTAAATGATTAACTTGATTGAGGTTTCTTATTTAAAATTAGGCCTTTAAAAATTTTCTGACATGATAACATGCTATGTCTTTTTAATTGGCAGCAGTATAGCTATTTCTTAGCGTCTTAGATTGTCTACTGTAGAGGAGGACACCATATTTTTTTTGAGTGTGCATCGAGGCTTAACAAAGATGAACATTTTTATGTCATATGGCTTCTATTTTTGAATCAGATCATGTCAGAGAGGTCTAACAAATTTGAAGAAAATTGGTTTAGCTCTTTTCACTTGTGGTAACATTTAAACAGGCAGGAACTTAATTGTATTCAATTGACCAAATTGAGAAGAAAGCCAAGGAAACTGCTATACTCACCCAGGGTCCTAGGTGGCACCATGAGCTGCACACAGGAGAAACTTTCTAGCCTGAAGAGGGGATGTGAGTGAGAGATGGAATTTTATCAGATTCTAGGAGACCCCTGGTGAATGTAGGAGGATTGAATTGTCAAGCCAAATAGCTGTTACTTTCAGTTAGTCCTTTTCAAATGTATCCTAAGATAGCTTATTTCTGTTGCTTACACAACGTTCTGGTTAGCCACCTACACAGGGTTGAATATATACCTTTTTTGATTTGGGTAATAACAAGCGAAGGACTTATCGCCTGAAAGTAAAACCTTTGTAGTTCAACATTTACGAACAGCAGGTAAGCCTCAGTCTTAGAATGCTAGGGCTTTGTTCCATTTTTCTCTTTGAAACAATATTTTTTTCCTTTTTATCTCAGAAAGAATTTCACAACACATTTGCATAGTTATGGACACAAAAGATGAGAATCATGTGGGACATCATCTTGAAGAAATACTAAAAAATGAACTAAATGTAAGTATTCAAAGATTGCGTTTCATGACATTTAAGAGTTGAGTTCCCTTTGTTCTCTGTTTTTGAGCTGATGAACTTAAATTTGTACCTAATCGGGATAAGGAAATGAAAGAAGTAATATTAAGTGTGAGGAGGTCCATAGGAACTATTTGTAACTTTTACCACTAATGACTTCCATTATTTACTTCTATGACAACTTTTTGTCTTGAAATGTTTTGTTTGACAAAATGATTTAACCCTAAGTAATTTCCCTGTTTCAGTTAAAATGTATAACCATTATGCTATCTGGGCTTATGATATCTGGGCTTATGATAAACATGTGATGATCTTTTAACAATATACATGATCAAATTATAATTAAAAGCCAAAGTAAAAAGTTCATTTAAGTTAATTTTAACATGATGGCACACTTAGAAGGGAAATGGGCCCTGTTAGGACTGTCTGTACTCAGATGTCAGCTTTATTGCCTAACTTCCTTATCTTAAATTGTAAATGCCAATAACATATCCTTTGTAAAGTCATTAAGAGAGTTGAATAAAATAACTTTAAAGGTTGAATTTAAAGTTTAAATTAGACTAAAATTTTTTTTAAGATTTTATTTATTTATTCATGAGAGCCACACACACACAGAGAGGCAGAGACACAGGCAGAGGGAGAAGCAGGCTCCATGCAGGGAGCCTGACGTGGGACTCAATCCTGGGACTCCAGGATCATGTCCTGGGCTGAAGGCGGCGCCAAACCGCTGAGCCACCCGGGCTGCCCTAAATTTGACTAAAATTTAAAGTACTTTAAAGCATCTGGCCTGTAAATTTTTGGTGAAAATGAACTATAATAATTAAATTTGATGATGAGACAAAGTGTATTAAGTAATGAATACTACTAGTTCCCAAACTTTAGTTTAGGAACTGAATAGATAGTTTAGTTTAGTCCTGAATAGATACACCAAATGTTAAGAGCATAGAGCCCTGGAATATGTAAAAACCTTGTTAATAGTAGTCTGATATTAGTTCTAGAATCCAGATTTTTAACAAGCTCCCCCAGGTGTTATTAATGGCACTCAGTGCCAAATTCTACCAGTAGCACTTGGAGCACCAACCCAAAGCTGAAAGAAAATGAGCACCATATCTGCTATCTCTTAGATAGAAAGGTTGTACTGCAATCTACTTTCCTGTGTTGCTTCTCTTCATTGACTTTCTGAACATTCTCCCTTCATCCTTGGAAATTTTATCACCTTGCTCTGCTTTTTACCTCATGTTAACCTGTGAAGAATCTGTTCCTAAATTCCTTTCCCCAATTTCACTGCTGCATCTTGCAGAATATTTAATTATTGATAACTTTCCATTGTCTGACACGTTGAAGCACCCTTTTACCTCAGAAATAGTCTTTTGCTGTTGAGTAATCTCTTTTTTTAAAAAAATTATTTATTAGAGATAATAAAGATAGAACATGAGCAGGGAGGAGAGGGAGAAGCAGTGTCCTCACTGAGCAGACAGCCCTCTGCGGGGTTCTCATTTACTCTTTATGCAGAAGTTGCTGAGTTGCTGAGTCAATGCAGAAGTTGCTGAGATGAGACACTGAAAGAATATTAGTGGAACTCTGGCCATCGATCAACCTTAAGTTTAGAGAGCTGGGATTTTATGCTCTTGTTGAGTACCCAGCTGTTGTATTCCATGTGACTAATTCCTTTATTGGTTTTTCTAGTATTAGACCCTGTGTAAGTTCTTTTGATTACAATTATTACAATACTTATTCTTTTTTTTCCTGTATCTGTTTAGCGATGAAGTGACATGAAATGGGGATACACACAATGGTACATTGCTGGCCTTGTGTGATTTATTCATCAGTTTGGCCTCTCAGATCCTTATCCTTTTCATTTTCAATCCAATGACCTTCATCTACCTCCCCATCAGGTCCAGTCTTCATATATTGCTATCATCTTAACTGTGCTGAAAAAATAAGTACTAAGGCTATTCCTTAAGTTCTGACCACAGTGTTTTGTCAATCCATATCTTTTGCTAAGTTACTCTTGCGCATATTTGAATTTTACAGGAAACTCCAGGGCCCCCATATTCTTCCTTTCTTTCAGCTACATTTTGTTTCATACCCTTCCTTGCCTAGTTTCAATACCATGTTCTAGCCCTTCTTTGGATCATAGATCTTCTACCAATATCCTCAATTCCCTTGTCCTTCAAATGCACACCTTTGGTTAAAATTCCATCCATGTATTAGTCTAAGTTTTCACTTCTCTAAGCCTTGACTCAATACCACTGGAGAAAATTATACAGCAGTGCAGATTGTTGCCATTAAAAAATACTGGTCTCCACATGTGTCTTATTCTCTTGTATAGTCAAGTCTCCAATCCTCCTCTATGACTATTCTAAACCTTCTGCACTTTCCTCAAATATTGAACCCCAGTTTTCTAACCTCACTGTTGGCATTTTGAGCTAGATAATTCTTTGTTGTGAGAGTCTATCTTGTGCATTGTACACTGTTTAGCAGTATCTTTGGCCAAAACTCATCAGATGCCTCTCGTTGTAGCAACCAAAACATCTCCAGTTATTAGTAAATGTTGCCTAGATGTTGTTTGCCTAGATGGGGCAAAATTCCCCTTCATTTGAGAAATGCTGGTCCAATCCCACTATCTTTACACCTGTTGTTAGACACGGTCTTGTCTCCGGAGCATAATTACACACTCCCACATGGCAACATCCTTGTCTTCTTGGCACCAGGCCTCTGAAGAGTCCTGCATCTGTGGCCATGCTCTTAAGATTGTTTGCTCTTCTGAGTTCTGATTCCCCTCCCTCCACTTCGCCCATTGTCATGAACTTCCTAGTGTCTTCACGTTCCTTCCATTAATTGAAACAAAACAAAGCTCCTCTTAACTCAAGTTACCCAGAAGTCAGCCTCGATTAGAATAGTTTAACTGCTCATTCCTCATTTCATTGCAGCCTGATTTCTAGCCCCACCTTCTGCAGGAAATGCTCTCAGCAAGGTCCTCGGTGACCCTTTGAGCAATCCACAAGACATTTACTAGTCCTTACATTGATGGAGGGTAGCACTTGACCCTTTTGTCTAATGCTTTCTTCCAGAAGGAATCTCATCCCATTTTGTAACATCTTGTTTTTCTTAAGCTCCTTTTTTGTTTGTGGGCTTCCTCTTAGTTTTGTTTATGGGATACTGTTCATACTTTTTAGGATTCTCTACATAGGTGAATGGTTTTCTCTGGGAAGCTGTGCTGATTGCTTCACATATCGTCTACTCGCTAGAGATAAAATTATTCTCTAGCCCTGTGTGTTTAATTATTCACTAGCTTGTGTTTCAGAATTATAAATTCAATTGGAAGTTTCTCAGATCCTCAAACTTAAGTGTTGGTAATATTCCACATTTCACAAATTCTTGTTGGAAGCAGTTGTCCTCCATCTGCTAAGGTTTCAGCCTCTGACAAGTATATGGTTTGCCTAGTTCCCTAAACCTGGTGTAATCTTTCGCCTATTTTCTATCACACCCCCGAAGCAAATAAAATTCCAAAACACTTGAGTTTTATCTTAATATCTCTCAAATGAGGGATCTGAAGTCTTCCCAGAGCTTACTGCAGTCTTGATATGTGAGGGAGATTTATTGAATGTTATATAAACTAATGGATAAATGACGATGACTTGTTATTACTAACTTGAGCATTGTATTTTGTATTGCTTTATGCTTTCTGCACAGCTAGTTATCCCCAAGTTAGTGACCTTAAATAATAAAAATTCACCATGTCACAGTTTTGTGAGACGGAAGTCTAGGCACAGGACAGCCAGTTGGCTTTGATTCACGGTCTTTAATTTGATTATAGTCAAGCTGTTCTCTGTAGGCTGAGGCCACAGTCTCACCTGAATCATCCAAGTGCAAATGGATCTGCTCCCAAATTTATGCAAGTAGTTGTTGGCAAACCTTAATCCCTTTCTATGTGGATTTATTCACTGAGCTGCCTCACAGCATGGCATTCAGGACTGAAGGCACAGTTTTCTTTTTGTAATTTGATTTTACGAGTAACATCCCATTGCTTGTGTCTTATTCTCTTCATTCAAAGCAAGTCAATATATCCAAACCAGATGCAAGAGGAGGGGATTATGTGAGATTGTAAATACTAAGAGGTAGTAAAATTGTTAGTGGGTCTCTTTTAGAAGTTGTCTGCTGCAAACATATATTTGTTACTAAGTTAAAAAATACCCTTCACGATGGCCATCCTAGCTTCTTGTGATATGTGAAGTCTGAGTCTTCTCTGTTAGCAGTCATTATCCAACCACACTATAATTTTTCAGTTAAATCAATGGAGGCACAACCTAATTTATATGAAAACAAGTCCTTAGTACTTGAGTTTATCAGGTAATCTATATGACAAATGATGGAGTTGATCAGAAATATTCGAATAGTTCTCAAATCAGTGATAGACTAAAGGAGCTAACTAGCCAAAACCAACAGCCTCTCAATTACCCCTCATCATTCTGAAGAAAATTTCAGATATCCTATTACTTCATATATAAATACCTCAGTATGTAAATGCACAAAAAAGTTTGTCTTTTAAACTGTAATAATAATTACACTCCACAATATACTTAGTATCTTCAGATGTCCAGCAGTTCACTTTTCTCCAGTCCTGCTATATATTCTTTGTTTCCTGTTTGTTTGAAACATTGTATCTTTCAGTGTACTTTTCATTCTCTTTCAAAATTGTCCGCAAATAATCATGAGTTTGTATGTCTGTTTTTTAATCTACATTTTTTTTATCTCTCTCTTTTTTTTAAAAATTTTAAATGGAGTAAATTGTCCTTTAGAAATGCCCAAAGTGTGGGTTTTACTCATTACAACCTTGTGGTTTCACTTAACAAGTCTGCCGGTCTCCTATATATCTTGGAAATTAATAGGAAATTAATAGTAAGATACAGAGGTTTGTTCAGATTTGGACTGAAAAAAAATAGATGATTTTTTTCATAGCTGATATGTACTTCTCCCAGGAA